TTCTAATAAAGTTATTATAATTAATCTAATTAATTATAATTAACTTGAATTAGGATTAAACCAAACCTGTTCTCGACGTTCGTGGCGCACCGGCAAACCACCTATACACTCCTTCTCTAGCGTGGTGGGAAGGGAACCCGGTGCGGTGCCTACGACAAGATCGGGATATTCATAAGTACCCGCTTGCGGGGAAACAACTGCTTCTCTCTTGCAACAGGTACCGAAGACTCATACACGTCTTTCTCTGGCGTGGTGGGGACAAAGACTTTACACGGCCGCGGTGTCCTCGTAAGAGGGCACCTACCGTACATGCTTTCCTCTAGCGTGGCGGGAGGCCCAGTTTTCCATCATTTTCCCCTAAACGGGGGAGACGCCGGGAGGCTGCCGAAATTTCGGGTGAAATATTACTCTACTAGGACCTGTTTTGAAACTCTAAGAGAACAAAGATGTGGACTCAAGTTGAACATTTGAACTAGCACGAAGATCTGATTTGGACTATAAAGGACTTGTACTCGAACGAGACTAGTAGACTTGGGGACCTAAATCAGAACAAAATTCTAAAAGATTTCTAAAGATCAAATTCAAAATGAAATAAAATCAAAGTTGGAACCCAAATTCAAGACATTTTGAACATGAAAATGAACCTGCAAAGACTCAAGAAGACTTTAAATAATCATATGAACATGCAATTGAACTCAAAGGGCTGCAGGGGACTTGAACAAGACTATAACATAAAACAAAGACTTTGATTTGGACTGGATCCGAATCCGAACATAACATTTGAACTTGCGCTACACAACATTAAGTGGGGGTTGTGGACTCGATGAACCTGAGTCTAAATGAAACTTGGCTCGGACACGAATTCAAGAAGACAAATGAGTTCCAAGTATAATCTACTTGTAAAAAGAAGAGAAGCAATAATTTATGTTTGTAAGTTATGGCACGAACTCCTACAAACAATCCCCACAGTGCGTGTAGATTGAGTGGCAATACGAGAAACCAATAGTGGAGGACCTACCTCTACAAACAAATGCAACCTAACAAAAACCACCCGAGATTGGTGAAAGGGTGGATATGATGCAGAATCAATGGGTCTTCTACAAACATTTTTAGGAGGTCGTAGCGGATACAACTGATCCCCAGCAAATAGATACTTGCGGATAACAGCAGTGTGCATGTCGTAAGCACAACGAATCACTGTGGACACAAGTATGGATCCCTGCAAATGACTACAAACCACTTGTGGATAACAACAGTGAGAACCTCGTAAGCATACCGAACCACTATGGACACAAGTATGGATATCACTTACGACAGCGGTGACCAAAATCAACAAGTAATGTCGGGTACAAGGGCAAATCGATGTACGGAGAAGGACACCTCCTGGCAGAATGGGAGAAAAGTTCAAACAAATTAGAACTAAACTTTCTGGTGTTCCAAAGTTTCTTCCTTGCCCCATCCTTAGGAAGAAAACAATTCTGATGTCTACAAATACCGAAAATAACGAGTCCGCTACACCGAAGATCCTAAAAGGAGTTCTTTCCATATCAGCAGTCGTTGACTCAGAAGTTCAGAAAGATCTATCCCCGGTGAATGAGAAAAGGGAGAGTCAATTTCAAGATGAGGAAATACCTCATAACATCTGAATAACTAAGCCACCGGATCCGCAATATTCGTACTAGCGGACAGAAGGCGTATATAAGCTCTCAAATGAGAAGTGTGCATCCAAACAACAGTTACATGCACAACTACAAAATATTTCGAAGTACCCCTGCACGTGCATTATAATTTGTATGCACATAGGTACACTAAAGGGGTATACAATCGAACACCCGCACGGGCCCCGGCGAGCGTGTTATTGGTACACACGTGACGCCTAGGGATGTTGCGCGGGTCGATAAGTGAATTCTAATTCGAACCTGATCCTTCTATACGGATCAATAGGAGTCGACAGGGTTCGAACCATCAAATAAATACATGGTCGTGGGGACCGATGTATTTGTTTCAATAAATTCATATTAGGCCTTCAAGGCCTATAATCAAAAGAATTCACTGAAAAAAAAAAGCCATGAAGCCTACAAAACCCGATCCTTCTAAATAGGTGAATAGGAGTAAACAGGGTTCAAACTCTCAGATAAATATACGATTACGAATGTGATCGGAATATTTATTTTAATGCATTCATATTCGGTCTTCAAGGCCTAAAATCAAGAAAATTCATAGACAAAGGCACAAAGCCTACGAGAAACTCGATCCTGTCGACAGCCAGACAGAATCGACAAGGTTCAAGCTTTAAATGGAAATGACCCCAAATACCCCGATGATGGCCGTGTTGAATGTATATCTCAACCGGAGGGGTTTCCAAATATTTTCAAATGTCTCCCAAATATCCACAGTCCATTTCAAATATTCTAAAGCTCCACCCAAAATGCCCATAGAAATTCAAAAAATCCAAAACTCCACAAAAATCCCAAAATTCAAAAAATATTTAAAAATGAAACTATCCATCTCAACGCTTAAAGCAAAATCCATCCACCCTCCGCAATAGTTTGCCGAGGTGGACAAATGTAAATATAACTTCAGCTCACAAAGAGAGAAATGCCTAGTCGAAAATATCACTAGAATCCATTCTCAAACAATCTCCTGCCAGTAAGGACGTGGTACGTGTCCTCTAACCGGCGGTCTGCCGCCAAATGGCACCGCAGGATAAACGGTTATGACGACCCGGGGCCCTCTGAACCGAGTGGTTTTGCCGCCAAATGGCACCACGATATACCGGTTATGGCCAGCGCCGTTACGTTTCTTATTGGCATCAAATCCTTGAGATATGAATCAATAGGATATGATCGATATGGCACAAAGCCCTCTGTAAGCTAAGGTGGATTCAAATTTGTCTTCTTAAACAAACATCCAACCCAGGTCTACAAGGTCCCCTTGGACGAAACAACCCATGGCTGCCGACAAGGATCCTTCTGTCAGGTTGGGTCGACTACCTCCTCTGACTAAGTAGACCAGGGACCACAATGGCCCGGGACGACGGAACCATGGGATCTTGATCGGGCCCATCATCCATTCCCCCACCATCCACTTTAAGTGCAAGATGGTGAAAATTTCTATTTTAAACATCAATCTCCAAATGCAAACCCAAATGTCCAAATCAAACCCATGCTCCTACTATATGCCAGATAACACGTATCTCTATACGTATCTGATCGACGACTAGCCTTAATCGAAAGTTCTCTCGTGATCGAGAGGAGTAATTAACTATAGGGGCTTGCGCCTATAGGAAACCAGAACTCAGATCATAAAGTCCTCGCAAAATGAGGGCGAAATCTCTGGGTAGTGTCTTATCTACAAACCCATCTGCCTTCCAAAATTTACCTCGGAACTTAGTTCGTTAAAACTCCCTCGCCGAATAAGAAAAACGAGTGGAGGCCGGGGCCGAATTTTCGGAGCCCACAGATTTCTGAC